GATCTGATCCATAATTTGTGAACTCTAAATTCCTCACTAAGTTTTGCGTCTTTCTTTACCCCAAAAGTACTGACAGGAAGATGTTAGTAACAGCTCCTCACTTAGTATCTTTCTTATTAATTTGAGTAGGCTTTTTTTTTAGTGACTTTTAACTTTGATGTTGTTAAATACGGCCACACTCGGAAGACTCTCAGTACTGGCGAATCTGTTTTCCTGGAATTTCTTGTGTTGTTTTCAGAACTGCATGATTGTGTGACATCTGCTCCACATCTCATACGTGATCAACTGAGGAGGTACAACTGTGGCAGATGGCTGATGACTCACCTCACAACACTGAACATCGGTTTGCTTTCTGAGAAGCAACATCTTCATATTAATTTTCTAAGAGTCTTGCAAAGATGTGACTGGTCTGCCTGCTAGCAGGTATCGTAAGTGACAGGAAATGCACAGGGATGCAACAGCAACATTTGTTCTAGGCTTAGGGGTAATATTTTAAAATTCAGTTGTTGGGCTATTATCAGGTAAATCCGAAAACAAAAATTAGCTTCACTGCTGTACTGTGTAAATTTTCAGCATCTAAATATGAAAATCTGGATAACTGAATCAGACAGAGATCTAGGCTTCATATGCAAAGGAGAAACAGAATAATATCCACAGAAGCCACTCATTTGGGTGAGGAATCAGGAAATACCAGAGCAAAGGATATACCTTAACCCTGCTCTCGCTGTGATTTGGATGCCTTGTTCCAGGCTGTGGGGAATACTGTGAAGATTCACAGATTGCAGACCTGGGAAGGTCATTCCCAGCTCCTGTAACATCCCATGATAGTTAACATACGTCCCTGCTATACTGGAGGCATCTGCTCTGCTCCCTCCTCTGCTGACTGTCGGATTGAAACAGGCACAGCCCAGTTACTTGGGTAGGCTCAGTTCTCATCAGTTGTAAAAGAACTACTGCAAGAAGCCACAAGTTTACTTACAGTGACATTACCTTGCAAAATTAACTTTGTTCATTACTGAAACTAAAGAATCTCAGTAACAGTTTGTTATCCCCTCTCATCCTTACAGACTCCTTCACCCGGTAGAACAAGGTGACTGGAGGGAACGCCAAAGAACCATTCCTAAATCACTTAATTTGCAGCTCTATATACCAAGCCATCACATTAAAGCTAAATATTGTTATATACATTGCAATAGCTTATATCATTAAACATCAACTTGTTTACATGCACCTGATTTCAATATTAAAAATGTAATTTGCATTTTTTGACAACCATATCGAAATCCTTTAGGATCTAAAAAACCATGCCAGCCTTGCAAGCAGCACATGAAAATGTGACCACCCAGCTCAAACATACTTCAGTCCCAAAGACTGAAACACATAAAAATGCTTTAGTGGCCTGTTAACTACTTTTTTTTAATCTTTCTGTGGCAGAGACATGTCATTCCCATTTCCACTACTCTTATGTCAACTAACAGAAGTTCCTAATGAGCTAAGTCTCTCGGGGGCTCAACTGCTAACATCATTAACGTTACCAAAGACCTGTGTGTGACTAACAGTTGTGTCCTAAGGGAACTGAACTCATACCTTCCATTTCCACATAAACTGCCCTCAAGTTAAAGAGTATCCCAGGAAGAAAAGAAGTGAGGAGACAATGGGTAGAGAGGAAAGAAGGAAGATGTCATTGCTGGTTCTGATTCATCCCATGTGGAACCTACATTAGTCAGGTCTGACAGAGGAAGCCAGCACGGGTAAGCATGACTATAATCCAGTAGTTACAAAGAGATGTTAATTAGATTAAGGGCTTGAACACAGTTCTTTTTCAAAGGTGAATGCCATGTCCATGAGTATTTCGAGTCACATTCTCCATCTCTCTAGCTCAAAGTACACGCCATTAAAAAGTAACGGAGGTGCTTCAGCAGAAAAGATTTAAGATATCTCTGACCAGAATAACCTAGAACTCAGCAGCCAGAGCTGTAGCCACAGAAATGGACTTCAGTATTCATGCTCCTGGCAACAGGGAGGGGAAGTAAGCATGTCTGCCCAACAGCCTGGGTAAGTATTCCCACTACCAGGCAATGTCTCAAAGGGAAACTGCCTCTTTTCTACCATTTTATGGGCACCTGTGGATATGTTCCTAAAATACCCTCTGGGGTGACTCCTGCTGCAGGGCTTTAAATATTAGAAAGACATTACTGAGCAGCATTAAGACAAAACCTTTAGTTGTATTTAAATCATCTATACAGTTAGTTTCTCTGAACTGCTACAGTCTGACTACTATCTGCTAAACATAAAGGAAATTCTTAAAATGGTACTGATGTCACTTACATTCTTTGACAGTTGGTAACTAAAAAACCCAGCATGCCCCAAACCAGCAAAAGCTGAGTCTCCCTCCCCCAAATGGTATGTAATGATGGTAGTTAATTCACACAGAAAAGATCTTTTGGGGCTGATAATTCTCTCTTAGTAATTTTATGTCATTCAAGTTCCACTAACAACTGTTGAGTTTACACCATGGTGCCAAAGAGGTATATTAGATCCTTCAACTTCAAGCTATCCAGAGCTTACTCGGCTCATTTGGCACCTCTGTGTTGCTGACACATGCAGAACTTCAACAGATGGTCTCACAATACTGGCAGTTGTTTTGTACTGTGCTAGTGGTGAGGGGAAATACTCTACACAAATTGTCTGCAATTCTGGAAAATAAATGAAGTACAAATCCATATTAACCTCAAAAGCCAAACTATAAAAAGTCAGATTAGTCATTTAACGACGTATGTGCTCTGGGTTAAATGCTCAGTTGCTGCAAAATGGCAATATTTCCCTGCAGCCAGGAGAACTATGCTTTGCTTCAGTTTCTACCAGGAATATCTGCATAGACCGTATCACTAGAAAGGTACTGAAATGTATTAGGAATAAGCCTTGAGATCTTTCTTCATGTCATCAGCCCTGACTATCAGCAAAAGTACCTCCATAAACGAAGTGTTTTCACATGAATAGTGAAGCAACAGGGTGCAACTTAAGTTAACCAAATCTCTCTTTTTTCCCTTGCCAAACAGAATTCAAGAAATAACACATCAGCTACTGTGCAAATGTTAAAATCAACAGGGACAACCAAGTAAACAGCAACTTTACACTTTTCCTCACCCATTTAAAAAGAGCTGTATGTGCTACAAGCTGAATTTTACACTCACTAATTTCCCTGGCTGCAGTAGAACTTGCACTGCACATAAAAGACCAGAATTGCTCCTCCTTGTTTCTGTATGGCAAAATGTTTCTCTTTTATTGTGCCAAACTGTCAGATATATCAACTGAGTTGAACTAGTAAACCACGTATGCAGAACAGTGCTTTTCAAAAAGTAAACTCAACCGTTTCCTTCATCAGTATATAACCTCCATGAAATGTATGTTCACACATAAATATTATATTCTACTAGTACAAATTTAGAACAGACTTTTAGGAAATCACAAATGTTTTGGTCCAATGCTCACCTCTTCTATTCTCTTTAAATGAAACATAGCTCTGAAGATATTTCAAACCAAGATTTCAGAGTCTTGGTTGTTCAGTACGCATTCATTTAAATATATGTAGTTAGATAATATGTCGGTCACCTTGTATGTTATTTTCACAATATTAGTTACATTGAAATACAGTTCCCTTAGGTAGCTTCAAAGCCCTAGAAGAAAGAATAAACCCTAAAAGCATTATCATAAAAGAGTCTTTTAAATGTAAGAGGTACATTCCAGTCTTCTGCTGGGACTGAATCAAAGCTGTACCAATTTTAAAAAGATTTTATTTTATTCACTAAGGTTTCTTAAAATCATGGTTGCTGGAACTGACTGAAGTTACACATTTGTGACTTGGATACAAGTAAAAAGATCTTTATCAGTTTGATGTCTAATTTTATACTGAAAGATCAAACCACTCCTAAGTTTGAAGCTGTTAACAAAAACAATATTAAAACAACTAAATTTCAGACAGGTTTCATGTTTTCTTTTTCTCCCTCAGGACTTTTGCCAGACTAAGATGACACAACATACTTCCAGAATGTACTTCGACAAAAACAAGATAATCTGTCTCTGAAAGCATAAATTATTTCTTCTCATGAAAAAAGAAAAATCAAAAGAAATGTTCAACAGACACAGTCAAAAGTTAGGAACATCAATACCCCTGCTTCTCTTCCCAGGCATAAACATTTTGTCAAACATTTCAAGCTATGATCCTTAATGTAGCATTTTGCTGTGAAATTCCCAGGAGAGGAGTCAGTATACATATTCTAATACCAGTAACACAAGCATGTCCTATTCTGGGAAGAGGTCCTTCCTTACAGATGCAGAATATGAGATAACATGATGGGAAAACTTCACAATCATCTTTTCATTTACTGAGACCCTTCCCAGCTTCTACAACAACTGGTTATGGCTACCCTCTTCTGTAAGCCCATCCTGTGCAGAGCTCAAGCATCCTCACCACAGGTTCATCGTGAACATTTCCTAGTCTTGGAACATAGAGAAACCTTTCTGGCAAGAGGGACATGAAATAAAAGGAACCTCTTGGGGAGACAAAAGGCAAAGGGAAGGGGATAGGAGCACAGGATTTCTTTTATCCATTTTAACAATATCCAGCACTCTACCAGACACCTTCTAGGGAAGGTTCAGGTAGTCCTAGGCTAAAGAATAATGGAATCACCTGCCTACACAGCTGCAAGCAAAAGTCATTCTTAATGATTTGGAATGCAACATTTGTTAAAACTGTGGAGATTCAGGGGATTTATAAAACTAAAAGAGAAAAAAAAGTGTAACATTTCCACAAAGAGATTACATCTGTTAGTGAATACAGATCATTGTGCTGCAATTCATGTCTCAAGCTGGGCATTACTCAATTTTGATATAAGGAAATCCTATGGACTCAAAATGCAGTTTGTCTTTGTGATTTATATCTTCGCCCTTCCTATCTAGTATCTTCTGAAATAATACCCAAAATCTTTCTTCTTAAATACCTTTATAGTTTCAGTAGGCACTCCAGGCTCCGGAACTTTATCCAAGTAAGTAGTCAAGTCTTGATCCACATGTTCAAACACCAATGTTAACTTGGTCTCTCTGTCTGTACGTGACACGGTGCACACATCAAACAGTCTGAGAGGAGGCAAAGAAAAGAGGAGGTAAGCACACAGGAACCAGTACAGACATACATACCTTGCAGCTCATACGTGTCTCTTTAAATTTCGTACAGTTTGTAGAATGGAAAAAAGAGCTTTCCAAAGGTAGAGCAACTGTTGAGCTCTCGATTAACCAGATAACTACCAATACATGAATAACATAATATCTCTCTTATATGTGTGGATACTGAAATAGTATTAAGAATTCATCAGCTCTTCCAAGTAAAATGGTTACATGAAAAGAACATATTTTTTGGACAGAGCAACTAGAGTTAATACAGAAACTGATTCGACATTTATCCACATTCTAAGTTGCAGGACGTACAGTAATTTAAAAAAAAAATTGCAAGAAACATTTTTGAGAAAAAACATACAGGGTGTTTGCATGCACCTTCAGTTTCTTCCCACAGAACTCCCATGTTCATAATTACATGGCTTTATAGGTCCACAAAAATTATTAGAGGGGTGGAGCACCTCTCCTAGAAATACAGGCTGAGACAGCTGGGGTTGTTCACCCTGAAGAAGAGAAGGCTCCGGGGGGACCTTATTGCAGCCTTCCATACCTCAAGGGGCCTACAAGAAAGCTGAGGAGGGACTGTTTACAAGGCGTGCAGTGATAGGACATGGGGGAATGGTTTTAAACTAGGGTAGATTTAGGTTGGATATTAGGAAAATATGGATATTATGAGGGTGGCAGATCACTGGAACAGGTTGCCCAGAGAGGTGGTGGAGGCCCCATCCCTGGAAACATTCAGGATCAGGCCTGATGGGGCTCTGAGCAACCTGATCTGGTAACACTGTCCCGGCTCACTGCAGGCGGGTTGGACTGGATGAGCTTTAAAGGTCCCTTACAACCCAACACATTCAATGATTGTATGAGTCTATAATTAAAACTCCTTTGGCAGAAACAGATATTTTTTTCTGATTTCTCTTGTAAGTTCCGGGACACCAGGAATACCTTCAGAGTCAGGATACAGTCTGGAAAAAAGCTTTGTGCACAAGGCACCACTACTATGAAAGCTTTCTTCTCTCATCAGTTTCTGTCATGCTTTTACTGGAATTTCTTCATCATTTCACCTTGTTGCACAACAAACAAATTTGCAAAGCTCTTCATAATGTTACATTCCTATCTGATTACTTTATTTTCTATTGCTTTCTCTTTTAATTAGGATTTCTCTCATCTTCTCCACTTCATCTACCATACCAGCTTTAATTACTGATCGTTTTTACAAATGTCTGCCCATCCTTCTATGTTTCACACCTACGTGCATACCAGTGACTTTCACTATACATCCTCAAGTCCCACTTTTACAAAATTACAGTAGGAAATCATATTACAGATGGAAGGAAGCTTGTTCTCTGCTCACATACTTTACTAATGGGTTTATTAATTTAGTTTTTTTAATTGGACAGATCAGACTCCTTTAAGAGAGGCAGAAAATAAATCACTACTTTTATTAGGTGACAGTAAATTTAAAAAAATGCATTAATACAGTTGTTGAGAAAAAAGTATACACAGTTAAACTGAAGAACTTATCATGGGTAACAAACCAAAGTAGTGTTGATATTACTGCTTCCTTACTTCCTGCAAAAAATGCAAAATTTCCAAAAACATTATCAAGCAATATTTTTGTTCTTTGTCCTAGGACTAAAGGCTTGATGTGCACGATCTGGAGACAACAGATCACGCGCAAAGCTTTGGTGGTCACTGCTTTTTGAAGAGGACAGCTGACAAGCAGACTAGGAAGACCTTTGTCATACAGAGTTTTTACTTCTTACCTTAAATCTCAAAACATTTCACAAGAGAAGGGAAGACAAGAATTGGCACAACTATGTGCAGACTGTAATCCAGGTCTAAGAGAGCAATCTGTTTCACTTGAGATGATATAGATTTAACATGTTCAGGCCGTCATCCCACTTTAACAGCATTTCCTAAATAATCTTTGGTCAGACACTTAAAATTGTTTATTAGCCACCATGTTTTGAAAACGGATGCATGCACATTCCTTCTAGCTTAAAGAAGCTTCTTAGTGAGTAATAATTTGGGAACTGGAGTTACATAATATGGAGAGACTGTCACCCTACCACTACTAGAAGACTAATCCGTACTTAATCTGTAATCATCACAAGAGCAAATATTAATTAAATTATTATGGTAACATAGTTACTGTTACAGAAAATGTCTTGGCACATTACTCATAAAGATAAATGCTGATCTCTTTATGATTCCCTTTATGGGGCATACGCAGAAGAGAGATGTCCTGTACACAGTAAATAATTTTTCTGAAAAGTCAGAAACCTTCCTGAAAAGTGAAATTTGCTCGTATTTGGCTGGAGGTTAATAATCTGCAACATATTTATATAAATCAATGTGGAATGTAGCCGGACTGCCTATAACCCCAACACATGCAAATAGAGAGGAGCCAGACAGGTCTGAACATCTGAACATAAACACTGGAAAATATTTCCAGCTGTATGATTCCTTTGTGTTGACCTACATTTACCTAAAAATGTTCTAAAACACCTTTTTTTTGCCAGGTTTCTAATACACTGGCAAAATTATCTTTTCAACTATAGCAGAACTATAAGGAAAGAAACTAAAAGGAAAACTATAAGGAAAAGAACTAAAAGGAAAAAAAGATTTCACTGTATTGAATATAGAAGCAACATGTTATTTCCAACTCACTGTGGAGGGAAATGCCGATTCTCTGTTTAATTCTTTTGTATGGGGCTTATTTTGATTCTGGCAATTTTTGACACAGCAAAATAAGGAGCTCAGAGGAGTGCAATTCTAGTCACCTACTACTGAGTAATAATATTATCACTGAGTAATAATATTATCTTTCCTTTTTATACACCCTTTATGTAAAATTCTAAATAATAAAACCTCCAGATACTGCACCAGGCTGGGTGGAAGCACATTGTGTTTACTCACAGAAAATAAAGCTGTTGCCTTGGAAAGATAATAATTTAAAGCACAGCTTATAGGAATATGCAGTATTAAAAAAAGACAGTATCTGCCATTGCCCCGTGCTAATCATTCTGGAAATACATTGAGAAACACACAGCCTCTTTATTTAGTAGTTTCCATAGGGATAAAAATACTTTTTATAAATTATATTATTTTACATCCACTGTGAGAAAGATAATCCATAACGTTGTCTTCTTTAGCTAGGAACATCTCTGCTGCTTACAGTGCACATCTCTCAAGCCATTTCCTCATGATTTTCTGTACGTGACTGTTAGTTTTGCATGTGATTGCCTCTCTGGAACAGGCAACAGCAAAAGGCATTTTATTTGAAGAGTTACTATGTGGACACAGTCCTAAGTGAAGTAAATGTACCTCAATTAATACAGGATTTCCATAATGAATACTTTGTAAACACAAGCCCTGCCCTTCTATTGTACTTAAAAAAGAAACGTTTGAATTATTTGATTAAAGTAAGATCCGCTATGGGAAATCCTGCAAGTATTTAACAAGATGTTTGGCTGGGAGTCATACACCGCCTGATGTGTCGATCTGAACCGGAACATTGTTGAACAGACACTTACGGTGTACCTGTGTTTTAATGCAGATATTTTTTCCAGTTAATTGTACTAAAGTAAAAAAGCTTGTCAGCTACAAATCTATGTCTCTCTCTTATTTTATATGTCCAATGCCTAGTGGATCTGACTATAATCTAGCAGAATACCTGGCTTCCGACAAAAATACTTCGGTTGTTTTGAACGCAGAAAACTAGTTGATGCATCCTAAAGTCTCCATAGGTTCTTACAACATGTAATCTGACAAATGCAACCTCAGTTCATCTTCCTTTTACAATATACAGTCTGAATGCTTAATGCTTTTATAAGAAAAGACACAGTTATGTCAATTCCTTTGAAAACTATTGTGTCTACTGACCAGTACTCATCTGGTAACTGCTTCTACGACATCCTTAAATGTTACTGGACTTGCTTTTCAGATGCTCTGAGAACTGCTATAAGGTTAGCCACTTTCAAGTGCAATAAACATTTTTTTCCTGAGCAAACTGAGATAACAGCAATGGAAATCAAACCCATCAGCCCAAGCCACCTGCAAGAAATAACAAAAACCAGATCTATGAGACCTGAAACACTGTAGGACATAGTTCTCTTGGCTATTGTAAAACAGATGAGTAAGTACATCTGGAAGATTAGTCAGATCATAGTCAAAGGGAAGACCAAAGAATTAGATACTTGCTGCCAATGCAACCAAAGTCTCATTGTTATTTTTATTGCTTATTGTTATTTTTATTTAGAAGGAGTAATCTAACATGAACACATATCCCTTTACTTTGCTGGTCACTCACAGCACTGAACAAAAACACAGTCCTTGCCCTCTGAAGTTTTTCAATAACATGGACTTACTTTAAATTTTGGGGAACAGTGTCTTCCCAGGAAAAGCTACTTCCTGTCTTCCAGACAAAGAGAACTGGAGCCATTGATTTATGACTAGGATAAACGTTTAAGGAGATTGCGGTGTGGTAAACAGGGGCATAGTAATATGCTACAGTTTTAGGGTTTCATAAGTCTGGATAAAGACTCAGATGGAAAGAGTTTGGTGGTCTCAACCCAAGTCCAAAAGGTATTTATTCACGTAACAGAAAACCAGCACAGAATTTATGTATGATTGACAGTGTTTACGCAAACACCACAAGACTGGGATACCAAGACTATTACAGGTCATGATTGAGGTTTATTAACACATATGGGGGAGTGGGTGGAGGAAGCCTAAATAGCTTCTGCTTTCACTGCCTTTGGCTCAGGTTAATCCTGTGAGTCCATAACTTTCAAGGGCACAGAAAACTTCAGCCTCTCATACCTAAAAGCATAGAAGAATGACAGTCAGGTGTCCATTGAGTCCAAATTTCATTTGCAGCCTTAGACTCTTCTGTTCTCTGGAGGCCACTCAGCAGTAAGCCCTTCGTTCACCTCAACTTCTTAAACTACACACTCCTT